TGACTTTTGCTCGGATCCAGGTATGGACAATGAAGAGGATGCGTCATGCTATATGGTCGAGGAGAAAGCGTTCGAATACGACTACGATGAGGGATTTGACTGGGAGAATATGACTGCATCACAATGCAATTGCTCACATCCATTGCACAAGTTTTTGGAGGTAATTATTCCATTTTAATAAACAAAAATTCCTTATGTACTGACTGCTTCATGCTTTGAATAACTTGAATTGATGATATCATGAGGCTTGTCTATGTTAATCATGAAAAACATAGAAGTTTAGAAGTCTTGATTATCCTACTCTTTTCAAAGAAATATTTTTAAAATGGCTTAATTTGGATGCATTCTACAAATTAGTAAATATCTATCACATGTGTTTCTATACTTGTACATGTCCTGGTTTTAAAATTAAAATACGACCAACTGGGATTTCAAAGATTTTTGCCCTCGAATTTTTGATTTTCTCATAGTTAGTTTTCTGAAGCTTCTGGGAATTTTATCACTTTGTATGGTCATTACTGATTACGTTGTAGCAAACCTTTCCTAACCTTTCCACGGTTTACCCCATTCCGTCAACTCCAAAGATTTTTCCTATTGAGAGTTGGAAGTCCTAGAAAAATTTAAAAGTAATAATTACAAAACATTGGGAATTATCCTTGCCAGCAGCTATATATGTCTCTAAAAACGACTAATTTCTTCAGATCAATTGGAACTCCAAAGATTTTTTTACTTAAGAAAATATCAAAATTAGAATTGTTCAGGTATGCGCAACCAGATGTATCACTTTGCCAAACACACTGCTGTTTGGTCTTACAGAAGAAGAATTATTTGAAGCTGCATTACCGGCACTTATGTATCTTATCGTTTTTCTTGTTGGAACTGTAGGAAATGCTATGGTAAGCCTTATGCATCAAAAATCAAGAAAAATTTCCAAAAGGTCACGATTATCTTACACAATAGTGACAAATAAACTGAGGAAAAGCATAATTTGCCGTTTTTGTCACGCCCATTTTTGTCCAGTGAAAGCAAAAAAGGACGTAGCGTAGACTATAAACCAATAGTTTTTCCGGCTAGCACATTCACCGAATGTAGATCATAACTCCATGCTTATTCCATTGCTTTATATGTGCAGATATCCAGTTGCAATTGAATTTGTTCAAATTTCAATTTTTTGCACTGGATGATAGTCATTTCCAAAGATTAATTGCTTTTGTACTCAAAAGATGTTGTTTTATTTTAGGTTATTTTCGTTGTTAACCGCTTCAAGCGAATGCGAAATGTTACGAATGTCTTCCTAGCCTCGCTCAGTACTGCCGATTTGTGCTT